ATTGATATGATACTAGACATATTTATTCATTATATTGTAACGTTGATTATGTTAATAATAATAAATGTATATAATTTTTAACAAAGTAGGCTTGGTGATACCAGGTGACTGTTCTTGAGGATGGCGCACTGCTCCTGTTTCTGCAATATCTTGTTTTTATTTTTATTTGAGTGAAAATTAAACTAGCCAATCAAAATTTAAATAATATAAAAAGTACGCAAATTTAAAATTCACATGCATCATATTTAATAATAAGATTTAAAAATAATAATGAATGGTAGTAATTATAAAGTTATAGATAGTTATTCAATTATTTTAATTTCATCATCAGCTTTCATTTACCTTTCAAGTTCACTGCTTACAATGACATTTTCTATATCTTCATAAATTGAAAAAAAATTTATTATTTAAATAATAAATATTTACGATCAATCAATATTGATATAAATATTTACCATCAGTAATATTGATTTCTGTACTTGATGGAATCCTAGGATCGTATACTGAAGTTCCAGAACTAGAATTACTATTATTATTAATGACACTGAGTCTTCTACTTGTATGATATGCTTGTGGATGTTTTTCATATTTTTCCGATTGTAAATTACTATCATCAATAGAATTATCATTATTGTCATTAGGTGTTGGTTTTTTTCTTTTTGGAAATTTGACAAATTTGATTATTTTTTTGATATTATTATTACCACCACCACCATCACAACTATTATTTTTAGAAACTTTTATTAAATATTCACTAGCAAACTTCCAAAGTTCTTCGATAGTTGGTCTTTTAGATGGATCACCATCCCAACACCTTTGCATCATTTGTTTATAATCTTCTGACATTCCTGGCAAATTTTCTGGTCTTAATCCATCACAAATATCTAAACATAAATCTGAATTATGATCTCTATTATCGAATGGTGGATGACCAGCAAATATTTCCCACATTAACATTCCAATGCTATAAATATCTGATTCTTTTGTATATTTTTTCTCTTTGAAAACTTCAGGTGCAATATATGGCATGATTCCACAAAGTTTATTTGATGATTTACCATCAACTGGTCCACATAATCCTAAATCTGTAATAAAACAATTACCTGCATCTACTAGTATATTACCACTATGTAAATCACAGTGTACTAAATCATTTTCATGTATATGATATAATGAATTACATAAATATCTAAAAAGTGTAATTCTATCTTTTAAAGTTAACCTTGAATGGTTCTTTCGTAAATAATTTCTCAAATCACCTTCTGGCCTATAACTTAGGACCATTGCGTAATTGCCATTGGGAAATTTAGTTATACCATAGCAATTAATAATCATATCTGTTTTAATTTTACAATAATTCAATGCCTGTAAATATAAACATAATCAATTAATTTAATGTTATACAAATTATTTATTTTGTTTTAAATGAAATTACTACTAGCCTCATCAAAAAATTTATTTCCAATATTATTTGAATCATCTAAACATTTTAATACTACATGTTGTGCCCCGCGACGACTTAATTCATTTTTATTTTCATCAAAATCATCTATGTATCCTCTTGTCCATGTTGCCTTATAAATACTACTAAATCCTCCCTTAGATAAATATTTCAAATCTTCAAATTGATCGAATGTGATCCATTCCATTATATTTTTTGGAAGAGCTGAGAGTTTTTGACATTTTTGAATAAAATTATCAACAGCTTTATTTCCTGAAGTCCAAGTATTGAAAAGTTTTTGTAAATGAAGACTAATGCAGTTTTCACAAAATTTAGTTGAATATCTTGTGGCATTACATTTTTTACATTCTATTTGTATACCATCTTTGTGCATTGCATGTTGTAATTCGACATCATAAGTATATCTTTTCTTGCAATATTCTTTTTCATTTGGTAAAAGTTCCTTGTCTCTATTCACTAATGATAAAAATGTATTCTTACGAATTTCTATGGGAGATAAATTTGATGAATTTGATGAATTATTATAAACATCATGTGCAACTGACATAGCATTATTAAATATTTCAAAATAAGCTTTGCGTATAAATTGTATTCTATCTTGTGATAATTTATTAAAAGACATTTTTTTTTTTGAATTAAATAAATCTTTATTTACGTTTTATTTGTTTTTATAGCAACAAAATAAAGTAATACAAATCTTAAAAGGGCAAAGATACAAAAAATTTCTATTTTTACTATCAATCAATAACCATAATAAATTTTTCATTTTTCTATTTATATCAAAATGCATTAAATACACAAAACGTACATTTATATTATTTTATAGCTTAGGTTCTGGAGAATATATATTCTAGAGCTTGCCAATTAAAATAAAATTTAACATAAAGTTGTTTGGGATGACCAATTCTTTTGTCCAGGCACATAAGTCAAATACAGTTAAACCTCATTTCAACAAATCTATGTAAATTGTATTTAAAATCGCGTTTCTAAAAATTCGTTGTAACACGAATTTAATTATAAGAAACAAATAATTTTTGTTGTTTAAATGTATTGGATAATATATATATATATATTGATCAGATTCTAATCAAATTACAATTCATTGAAATAACCTTAAATAGATTAGACAGTATAAATTGATTCGAATCAGATTAGTGACCGATTCAAATGAAATGAATCAACACTGGTGATTTGGATCGAATTTCGTTATCATTACATATTAATATTTTTGTATTGAATTAATCAAAGATTTGGTTTCATAAATTAATTAAATCATTGATATTTTAATTGTAATAATTCTTCCCACCAAATTGTCATTCTTATATGGCTCACGGGCACTGGTGTAATCAGCCCTGATCACAGGTACTAGCAGAATAGTCAGCTTATGATCGTTTGCATATTATAGTTCATGGCATTGGTGTAATTAACTTATTCTCGTTTCCTATATGACATTTTATCCCTTATAATAACAACAATAATAAATATAGCATCAGGAAAATAAACCTTACGTAAACCTACGTAAGGTTCATAATTGGCCAGCATTGTGTCAAGATTTTGGTAATTCTGTTAACAATTCCGTATAATGCTGGCCAATTATGACCTTACGTAGGTTTACGTAAGGTTTATTTTCCTGATGAGTGGGCATCCGTTATCACGTTATATTTTCGATTGATTAATATTAAAAGTTGGTTATAGTAAACGTGATTAAAAACTTGTTATAAAATAGATAAATTTTTCTTAAATATGCTTTCCATTAGTTAAAAGGTGAGGTAAGATCAAGAAGATCGATGATTTATACACAGTATAATACAATGTAAAGTAGGCAAATAATAATTTCAAAATGTTTGTTTATTTACTTATTTAATAGGAAATAGTCCAAGAAAATATTATCCGTTAAACATATTAATATTAATATGTATTGTTCTCGGGTTTCTATGTTCATTCGTTTACTGATTGTTTTCTGAATAGGAACATACAAAATTCTTCGACCAAACCTGGTCTTGATAATATAATTTTACTGGAAATGGTTATGTTAAAAGATAGATTTGAGTAGATGGTGTAGACAAAGAGTAGATAAATGGTATTATTAAAATAAGAAAATTATTAAAAGAGAGAAAGTCTTTGTTACAAACCTTCCATCCTACACGTATTTTTTGTGTCTTTGTTTGCTATAAAAAGAGAAATTAAAAACGGAAAGAAAAATTCTCGTGGTGTTTCACTTGATGTTAATTATAAAAAGGTCCATTCATAATAAAATTGTTGATGATCAGCCATCTTGTTTAATCTTGAACGATTGGCTTGAAATTTGACCTATCAATCCAATTGATGTAAATTAGATGTTACATGATACATATTAAACGGTAAAATTACCAAATGTAGAAGAAAGAAAACGCACAAACATTGAAGCTATATATAGTAATATCCAATAAAATTTATTTTTCATTTTTCGGGGGGGGGGAGGAATAATTTAGGCCCCAAATGGAAAACCAGCGCACAAATTTTTATTATTATGATCATCGGAAACAACCAACAAATACAAACAAACAACAATCACTGGAAAAAACTAGAAAATTAAGTAAATCTGATATTTATTTGTGTGTAATGTCGTCATTTCTAGGAGGTTACAAAACCATGATTACACATGTTCCAAAACCTTTTCTACCAAAAGGGCCAATTTTTAATATGTAAGTAAGTTATTGAGAAACATCTCCAAATTTCATACGAATGTATAAATAAAAATACACGAATACATATTAATCTGTTTTACTAACATTGTGACTAAACGCTTACCTTGCATTATTTTTTTAATAGAAATCGTTATATTTTTATAAAGCGTTCGTTATTTTGCAAAATCGCTAATTGAAGTTGGTCATTGGAAAAATAACTTTGATGTGGGTTATGCTAAAGATATTGGAGAAAATTTTCGAGACGAGCGTTCTCTAAAATAAGGAGTTTTTTCTTTGCATACTTGTTGTAACTATTTTAAGGCCCGATATATGGGAGCTGAATAAAACTTGGGCAACACAAATTTATATTTTGATTCCCCCGAGATCCGTTTCTATTTTGATTGATCTTTCACTATAATTTAAGGTTTTCTCAAAAAAGTTATTTGTTGGTGCTCCTTTTTAGAAAGACCGATTTCCATAATGTTACACGAATATCAATTCACATTTTAATTTGGATTTTTAATATTATTCTATATCTGGATCTTCTTGAAAAAACGGACAAGAATTTTTGCCCCTGTAATTAATTTCCTTGTGACATTATTTATATTTATACCATTTTTTTGTTTGTATTTAATGTAATGTTATATATTAATCTTCTTTCAAACAAATTTTTTTTTCTTTTCTTTTGAATCAAAAAAAAAAAAAAAAAAAAAAAATGCAGTCAACTTCCCACGTAAAAGGGATTAATTCACAAACAAAAAATACAAGAAAAAATATTGAAATAAATCAACAAAAGCAAATAATAACCAAGACGTCGTCGACTGAAGAGAATTTGAAATTTAGTAATAGTAATAATAATAATATTAATAATAGTAGTCATAGTAGTAGTAGTCATAGTAATAGCAACAATGATAATATCAATGATAATAACAAAAATTTAGAAAATGCAAAACAAAAGAGTAGCGTGACAACAAGTTTTTTATACAAACTTACCGAAATAGCAGCATATACTTCTGCAGTAGCTTCTGAAGCATATCAAACATTCAATAAAACCTTAAAGACAGATGAAGACGATCATAGCAATAACTCATTTTATGATATGTATGAAGAAGATAATGTATTGACGATTGCGGATGGTGATGAAACAGATTTAAATGATGATGAGTTAAGTGATAGTGACCTTGAAGAAGATGATAATAATAATAAATCTACAAACAACAAAATCAAAATTAATAAAAATAATACTCGTAACATAAATCATGGACATGATAGAAAAGATTCTTGTTCCTGGTCAGTTAATGATGAAGATGAACCACCACCACCTTATGATAGTTCTTGGACTATGGTTAGTTTAATATTTAAATATTTAAATATATGTCTTATTGTTAATAATAAAATCAAAATAATAATATAATAATAATAATAATAATAATTTTTTTAGCCTGCAACATCAACAAATAACAATACAGGTCAGCAAAATATTGCAAACTTACCTAAAATTTCAACATCACCCAAAAAAATATCATTTTCAATCCCTCAAAATGAAGATCAATCAACAGATACTTCATCTGTCCCTGCTACACCAACACGCCGTAGACAAATTCGCGTACGTCGTGGTCGACGATTACTCCGACGAAAAACCTCTTCTGTTGAACTTCAAAGTACACAAAGAACAAATAATGGGCGCGGAGGACCTATGGACCAAGACGAGTTGTTGCTTAAAGTTAATGAAAAGTTGTCAGATATGATATCTCAGGGCACAGCAGCATTGAACAGTACTGTTGATGTAACTGAAGTTGAAATGATGCTCTCAGAAGAAAGAGAACGCGAAGAAAAAATAATGAGAGAACTTGGACTTCAATCACCTATTGGACGTCGTAACAAAAGGTTTACTAATTCGCCATCTTCGGACTATGAATATTATAGCTCTTTATCTGATTCTGGCAGTTATTCTGCACCAGAAACATCTTATTGTGAATATGGTTATGGTTCTAATAGTGGATTTGCCTCACCAACTGGATATGATACTCCTTTAAGATATGGTCCAACAGCTCATTATAATACACCCATAACTTACGGTTCGCCTGGAATATATCCTTCGCCTGGAAGCTATAACAATAGTAACAACAATAATAACAATCGTTATCATCATCATCATCATCATTCGTCTGATGGTTATAATATGTTAGGTAGCAAATTTAATGAATCGTCTCCAAATGAATTTTCCGGTCCAATTCCAACTAGATATCATGGGATACCACCATCACAAATACAGCCAATGCCACAACACGCTTACAATGATTTGATACCAAATGGATATAATGTTGCTTTACCAACTGGCTATGCTAACTCACCGCTACCACCGCCATTATCATCACCAGCATCATCATCAATGGGAAATTTTGTTCAAAACCAAATAGGTGGAGGGGGTTTTGGATCAAATTCCAGTCGCTTTACAAATAATATGAACGGATATGGATCAAATTCTAAATATGGTTCTGGCAAAATGTTTAATAATGATAACAACAACAACAACAACAAATTTTTCTACTAGTATTTATAATAGATACAATGAATATTATAGTATTTTGGGGGTTTTTCTTGGGATTGAAGAGTGTTGTTTATTAGGTATTGATTGGTTTGAACCAAAAAAATATATTTCAAATTTTTTAATGGACAATTGGAGTTGTAGGTATATTCTTTTATTTTTTTAATTTTAAAAATTGTTCAATCAGAAAAATTTTTCCTGTTTTTTTTTGTAAATATTTTTCGATTAACATTGTAAATTATTTTTATAGATTTATTTAAAAAAATTATTTTTTGTTTTTGCTCTTTTTTACATCATTTATTATTATCTTATTTTTTTTATTTTAGAAAATTTTCATTTGTTTCATTTTTATTGAAGAATAAATAAATAATTAATTATATATTCATCTATTTAAATTTCGTATTTTTTTCCTTTTTTTTTTCTTTGTGTAAAGTATTTTTTCTTCTGTATGTATTATAAACAATAAAAAAAACTTTAGATTTTATTATTTTTTATAACCTTGTTTCTCTGTTTGACAGGAAAACCATTCTTGTGTAAATAATCTTATTTTTTTATTATTGCCATTATAGCCTTTTTTGTCTATATTAGTAAACAGTAGTCATTATTTAAAAAAGATTCCTATTATTTTTCTTTACAAAAAATGGAAATAACAAGAAATATAAAAGATACAATTTCTGCTTCTCATCATCATCCTATTCCACTTGTTAACAATCCTATTATTACTTCTCTTCCGCCTGTTCCTTCTCCTAATATCAAAAGAGTAGAAAAAACAATTAATCAAACCAATCAAGCCAATGATAACAATAATGTTGATGATGATGATGATGATGATTCAAGTGACATGGATTTATATTCCAAAGTAAAATCAAGATTTTCAGCAACAGGAATTGTATTGATGTTTCATCAAAAACTAAATCTTCCTATTGGACCACTATATGAATTCGAGAAATTGATAAAATGTCAATTCAGGTGCACATTAAGGTATGATTTCCAGTGTTGGCAATCAGAAACTACACATGGGAGGAAACGGGATGCTAAAGAGGATGCATCCAGAGTGGCATTGAAATATCTGACAAAAACTTACAGAAAACAAGCGCTTCACATCCAACGTACACTTATTTTCAATTACAAGTTGGGGCCAAAGAAATCGGTGTTTGGTAAAGGTGTTAGACAAATTTCTCATTTTACCTTGCCAGGAAACGGATTACCACCATGTGAGATTTGGTTAAACCAACAATATCAACAACTCGGCATACCCATTATTCCTGATTCACTACCACAGTCAACACCACCGCCTAGAATTCTCTTGGCACGATTTATGCTAAAATATAATCTTGGTGTTCCATTGTTTGTAGACATTGATCTGCCATCAGCATCATCAATAAACATTAATACTGGTGATTGTACTGATTATATTGCTATAGCAAAAGCGATAGCTGATTCTGCTAGCGCTACATTAACAGCCAATTCTGCTGGTGCTACCACCACAACCACCACAACCACCACCACCACCACAACTACCGTCTCAACAAACACTGCCACTACTAATTCCAACGCTGACATTATAGGAAACGAATCATTCTTTGACACTGATGCTTTGTATTATCTTTCCCTTATTGTTGGAAAGCGTAAATTTAATCCTTCAAAAGGGTCTGTGACTAAAACAGATGCCAAAGATCACATTTCAACCATTGTATTCAAGATTTTGTATGATGAGATTAGATCATCCGAGATTGATACTATAGCTAAACAACTTGAATATTATCAAATGACAATCGGAAGGACACCTGTGGACAATGATAGGCTTTTGAATGATTTCATTGAAGATAAGGATCCGGTTGCCGAACCTTGTTCTTCTCATAAAAATATTAAGAATGAACTTGGCTTTTTTGTGGAAGAAGAACTATCTGGAAAAGAAGCGGAAAGGATTGAATTGGGACTCATGCAAGATGTGGCCGAATTTTTGAAACTGACTCCAGCAAACTATAATAATAATAGTGATAACAATAGTAAGGTTAACAGCAATTACTATAATAAGGCTAACTATGATAGTGGTTATAACCACAATAACAAAAGGTGATGATGGGAATTACATACAAGGACGAGATTTCATCTTCATGTTTACAGGCCAGCTATCAAAGCTGAACCTTTTTAGGTGATTTTGCAATGAACCAAATGAATGATGAATTAATGAATTAATAGTATCGATATAATAATATTGATATAATAATAATATGATTTTATAAAAATTTTCATTAAACAATCATGTGATTTGTATTAGTTATTATAACTATAACAAGTAAACCTTATTACACTAAATCAGGAAGATCCAGATCCTCCCTATAGCTAATTGTGGCTTCATAGAAAGTCATCAATTGCTGGTGGTATTGCCACCAGCTAGACATATCCTGCCACTGTTAAAATGGCAACAGAGAGGTCAGTAAGTCCCCATTATAAATGGATTAGATCTCTCTCTCCATAAGTGTTTGTGTGCAAAAAAATGTTCCTTATGTTACGAGCAGCATTAACATCTTGATTCCAATGTGTCAGACAGACTGATTCGCAGATTCTGACGGACCAGAATTTTTGATGGTTATCAAACCACCCATCACACAAAGAACAGACTGAGGAAGTATGAAACTCATCAATGTTTGTTCACCACCTTGCAGTGTCTAGAAAGCTCTCGGCAAAATTCTTTTACAGGGCCTGGAGCATGCCCACGTGATGTTGATGAGAATTTATCATCACCCAAATGCAACAACAGTACTGTCACCATTACTATTTGTTATTCTCTTGCACAGAATATCAAAGACCTTCTGTTTATTAATAAAAGATTTCCATCGCAGCCAACGCCAATGATGTTCACCATAAAAATCAAGGATTATATCAAGGTAAAACAGAACGTAAGCAAGGTAAGAGCCATATTCATAGACATTAGTGACACCAGAGGTTGAGGAAGAAATAATGGCCTTTTTTAATCCAGCTGAAGAGGAAGAAATTGTTGAGAGTGATATTACACCTAAAGTTTCAACAGAAAATGCTGTAATCGCCTTTGTGACAGCTTTTGATTTTCATCAACAAGGTGATATAGAAATAGATTATAAGAATTCAAAGCCTTTAAATCATTGAAAAAAAAGGTAACAATGAAAGATTAATATTTCAATAAATAATTTTATTGTTTTATTTATTGTCGACAATGACTTTTTACAGCAGTGGCAGGGTTGATTGTATGTATTAATATTAATATCTGTTTAACAACGATAATAAAAAAGGAACATAGTACTAACCAGTTTCTTATTCTTTATTTTTGGAATTTATTTTTCAAATTCCCATGATATCTCTCTCAACTTGCTATTTGCTATCTTTGTATCTAGACTAAATATAGGAATTACAGCAAAATTTTTGTTACTTAAAAGGTGACAATAATGATATATGACGAAACTTTTGACTTTAGTCATTGACATAATTAAAGTATTGACTAAAGGTAATTTCTCACCAGTGTCATTTTGACGATTTGACTAAAGTAAAAGCCTTGACGTAAGTAAAAAACTTGATACAAGCAGCAATAACGGATAATGATAAAATAGAATCATAAAAAGTTCCAAATTATGTAAGATTGTGCGTCCTGGGGTGAATAAAGAATTATTATATCATTCATTGTATGTATATTGCAATGATGCGAGAAGAATAATTATCATGGGAAGTTTACAAATCTTATAATTTGAATTAGGAATTTTACTTAATTAAACTACTTAATTATTTTCTTTTAAATAAAAACTATTCTTTTTATTATTATATTTCATAAAATCAAATTGTCTTTAGATACATATGAGTTGTGTTAAATTGATGTTTTTTCGAATTTTTGACTTTGAAATTAACTACAAAACTACGCGTAACAGTGATATTAATAATGTGCTTGAGCCGTTTTTAGTGTCCGAGTTTGAAGCAACATAGGTTGGCACTTAGAACAATCTTTACATAGCGCATAAGATAGTTTTTGGTAAGCTTTCTATTTTTATTACTTTTAAATCTTCAATGAATTTCTTTTATTGTTGAATCACAATAAATCGATCACTAGAGAAAGTTTGTTGTTCTATAATAACGCAATTTTCGCTTTTCAATTTACATTAATTAATCAAAACCATAAAAAATGTTGTACGAAAAATTTGTTTGTTACACGTTATTCAATTCTCCGCACTCTATTCATTAAAACGATAAGTCAAAGTTTTATATTTTATATAATGTCATATAATAAATTGTTATTACCAGAAAGAAGGGAATTTGTATTTAAAATTGATAATGAAATGCGGAATAATGCTAATTCTAATTCTGATAAAGAAAATAGAAAAGACTATTTTTTTTCATTAGTCAAGAAAAACAAGGAGCTTTCTGAAAATGAAAAAGAATTTTCTAAGCAAAAGTTTATTTATGTGTTTGAGTTACAGGATGCAAGAAATAAATCAGGCAAACCAAAAGAATGTAACAAATGTAAATTGATAAGATACTCTGATAGGTTCTGTGAAGGTTGTATTAGTTTACAATTACAGAGTCTTTTCACCACT